GAGCCACCTGGCATCTACCTGAGAAGTCCTGCCCAGCCTTTCACCCTGGGGACCAAATGGAATTTAGGCTGACCTGACTTGATTACAAAGAGTATTTTCATATTCCTGAACATGAAAATTTTCATTTCCTGCTCAAGGATTTCTAATTTTCTTAGGCAAGGAGGAAGCAGTCAGGGAAGGCAGGAAGGTTGCAGGAGACAGTTTGCGGTGTTATTTTTTGAACAGATAGGGCCAAGGCCCTGCTTCCCTCAGCACTGAACAAGGGAACAGTCCAGGTAAAGGAGGAGGCTAGGAAACAGCAGACTTGACCAGAGCACTCTGAACTCTAGCGCAGAGGAAAAACTGTACTGGGGGGACTTCCCTTGTGGTCCACTGGGAAGACTCATCACTCTCAATGCGGGGGACCTGGGTTCCATCCCTGGCCAGGGAACTAGATTCCACATGTAGGAACTAAGAGTTCGAGATCCATAACTAAAGATTCTGTGTGCCACAAGACTCAGTGCAGTCAAAATAAACACTGTAAAATTTTTTTTAAAAAACTGTATTTGGTTCAGTTCCAGCATCTCTTGTCACGACTGAGGAGGCTAAAGGAGTAAAGGGCTGTCATAGTATGTACGTGTCAATCCCAGGCTCCCAACTTACCCCCTGCTCCCTTGCCTTCTTGTAACCATAAATTTGTTTTTTACATCCATGGTCTCTTTCTGGCTTTTATAGGTAAGTTCATTTGTGCCCGTTTTTAGATTCTGCATATAAGGGGTATCATATGATATTTGTCCTCTGCCCAACTCACTTCACTTAGTATGACAGTCTCCAGGTCTGTATATGTTGCTGCAAATGGCATTGTTTTGCTCTTTTTTATGACTGAGTAATATTCCACTTCACACATGCTGCTAGGTATAAGACAGATAACCAGCAAGGACCTCCTGTGTAGGACAGGGAAATCTACTCCATACTCTGTAACAGCCTACATGGGAAAAGAATTTTAAAGACAGTGGATATTAGTGTACATATACCTGATTCGATTAGCTGTATAGCAGAAACGAACATAACACCGCAGACAACTGTGTGTGCTCAGTTGCTTAGTCGCGTCCAGCTCTTTGCAACCCCGTGGACTGTAGCCCATAGGCTCCTCTGTCCGTGGGGTTTTCCAGGCAAGAATACTGGAGTGGCATGCCATTTCCTACTCTAAGGTATAAATCAACTATACCCAATATTTTTTTTTTTTAAAGAAGTACTGTCATAGGACAAGAGATTACATTCACAGATGATGATGCACCAGCCAGGAGAAGCAACAGTAATGATATTCAGAGATCCAAAAACTTAGCTGAGTAGAAACGTAATGATGATAATGCATAAAGATCCCCTGGAGGAGGAAGTGGCAACCCACTCCAGTATTCTTGACTGGAGAATTCCACAGACAGAGGAGCCTGGTGGGCTATAGTCGATAGGTTTGCAAAGTGTCAGGTGCGAATGAAGTGACTTAGCACAAGCATACAAGGTCAGAGTGGAAGATGAATGTTCCGGGGTCACTAAAGATGCCTCCAGGGCCTTCCCTGGTGGTCCAGTGGCTAAGACACCATGCTCCCAGTGCAGGGGACTCAGGTTCAATCCCTGGTCAGAGAACTAGATCCCAGTTGCTGCAACTAAAGATCCCATGTCCGACAACTAAGCCAAATAAAAATTAAAAAAAAAAAAAGATGCTTCCAGAATGTTCCCCTTTAGGATCTGCTGGAAATGCCAAGGACACGGAAGCTCAGTCTGCAACCAGAGAGCGGTCATCTATTAGCCCACTAAATGTGGCTGATAGAGTCTATTTGATGCCCCATCATTTGTCTCTGTCACCAGTGAACTTTGGAATAAAATGTTCATTCAGTTTCACATCTGGGAGAGGCCTCAGGGACGGATGTTATCAGCCCCCTCATTTTACTGATGAGGCTCCTCAGACACAGATAGATTTGGGGGACTCCGCTTTTCAACTTGTATGAGAACATGAAGAGCAGTCACAGAGATGCCCTTGGGATGGCTTAGGGTCATGCTGAGTCTGCACGACCCACCAGCTGTCTCCATGAGCAGACCTGGATCTTCCAGAGCCTGAGTTTCAGCTGGAGAGCTGGGAAAATGCCATCACCTTGTGGCTTGGAAAATAACTTTCAGATAAAATGTTCAGAAAATTCTGGTTTGGCTTTTGTATCCTAGCTGGGAGGCACAAGCTGAGAGAGGAAGAGAATTAAAACATGTTCTACTCCTTCCCACCCCCCTCCGGCCCCCACTTATTTTTTTACATTTTATGGAAATACATGTCTGGGGAGGGAAACCGTGAGCCACTGGTTGTCCTGAGACATCGACAAAGCTGAATAGAAAGAAATCTGGCTGGTAAAGAAGAAAGAGGAGTCCACAGATGTGGAATAAAGTGAAGTTTAGAATGTAGCAGGTCATGTACAATTTTCACAAATATAACAGCTTAAGGATGCTCTTTGAGAAATTGATTTAAATACACTAGGCCTATGTAGCTAAACTGGCAGAGAGGGGGGCAAGAAATGGAGTGGGAGGGATGCTGAGATGGAGGAAGTGGGGGGCAAGGAGACTGCTGCCCAGGGAGCTGGGGTGGGGGGACATGGGGGGGGTGACCTCAGTGTGTGTGGGGGCGGGGGAGCAGGGCTCTGTCGTCTTCGAGTCACCATGCACCCCAGGAGGAAGGAGGCCAGTGAGTTCAGAGCACAGCCTCTCCTCAAGAATCTGCTATCTCACCCGTGCAAGGAGAGCTCTCTCTAGCTGCCCTGGGGTCTCTCGTGATCCATGCGCAGGTTGGAAAAGAATTTCCAGACATGAGACAGAATGAGGGGAGAATAAAGCTTACTAGAATGGGAGACGCTGTTAGAACATCGGGCTAGCTCACGAGAGAGCCAAACGTTTTTGCAAGCTTGCAGCCAATTTTCATAGTCTCAAGACAGAAAATTCCTACTGAAACGGTGGCACTAGGTGATTGGTTAGGATGCTATAGAGTGGAGAGTAGGGTGGGCATTTTACATGGTAGGGGGGTCAGGGAACTGGACAGTTGAGATCAGGAGGCTTATGGCAACAGTTACTATGGGGCTTGGTCAGTTCCAGAGACTTTTATACTGTGACCCTGATACAGGGATCCACACCTGTGACCTTGGTAAAGGGCTCCACACAGTCGCCCAGCAGCTAGTGAAGCAGGGGACGAGGAAAATGGGCAGGAGACCTTGGCAGCCTTCTTGCTGTAATGAAAACAAAATCCACAATAAACTCGGGAGACTCAAAAGAGAACAGAGGAGAGAAAGGGAACTTTTGTATCAGACGGAGCTCTGTGTGTACACTCCAAGTGGAGACATGCAAAGGGCATTTTAGGCTGCCACCTCCCTCCTTCCTTAATCTTCCTGCTATCACAGGTGCCCAACTATTCAAACATCCGGGTCCTGAAGGACATTAAATATTGGTTAACAACCAGGGTGACCCAGAGCTGTTTACACGGGGTGACTGAGAGACTCTTTCACTCTAAGCATGCCAAGTCTGCTACTGCTACTGCTAAGTCGCTTCAGTCGACTCTGTGCGACCCCATAGACGTCAGCCCACCAGGCTCCCCCATCCTTGGGATTCTCCAGACAAGAACACTGCAGTGGGTTGCCATTTCCTTCTCCAATGCATGAAAGTGAAAAGTGAAACTGAAGTTGCTCAGTCATGTCCGACTCTTTGCAACCCCATGGACTGCAGCCTACCAGGCTCCTCTGCCCATGGGATTTTCCAGCAAGAGTACTGGAGTGGGGTGCCACTGCCTTCTCTGATGCCAAGTCTAATATTCCTCAGTTAAGGAAATTCATCAGAACCTCTAAATGTTTTCCTAAGCTAAACAATAACATTCCTTGTTCCAAAATTTTAAGCAGTGGTCTGGGGACATTTTTACATGTTATGGACACTTTTTTTAAATGCATAGATGCTGTAAGAGGCAAAAGCATTTATTACTAGTTAAAGATACTTTTCTCATACCACTGACTGCCTTCTTGCTGCTTATGCAATAGAAAGGGGGTGTCTGTTCATCAAGACTGTTCACACAGGGGCTTGCTCACCACTTAACCTCTGTGTCCTGCTCACACCTTCATCCACAGCTTTATCATGCATAGACGGAACACTGCCTCCTCCATTTGACAGAAAACAGTGACAATTACACCACAGGAAGACCTTCGATGCCAATAAAGGGGTCAGGAAGAGACAACTCAAGTCAACTGATTTGAGTTTGTGCTTTGAGATCCTGCCTGTGCACTGTGAGCCCCCAGCCCCCTGTGTTCATCTTGGGACCCTCACGACTTGGTACCCTGCATCCAGCTCTCTTTGTTCCCGGTCCTCGGCTATTTCCCTTTCCCTTACAGGCTCAGTACAAGGGTAGGGAAGGGACTTCCCTGGTAGTCTCATGGTTAAGAATCCATCTTGCAATGCAGGGGATGCAAGTTCAATCCCTGGTTGGGGAACTAAGATCCCACATGGTAACTACCGAGTCTACACCACAACTAGAGGGTCCATGCACCGCAGTGGTGCAACTAAGAGCTGAGGAAACCAAATAAATTAATTAATTTAGAAAAAAAAAGAGTAGGAAAGATGATGACTCTTCTGGTCCTGTGTGTGTGTGTGTGTGTGTGTGTGTGTGCGCGCGCTCAGTCACTTCAGTCGTGTCTGACTCTCTGCGACCACATAGACTGTAGCCCTCCAGGCTCCTCTATCCATGGGATTCTCCAGGCTAGAATATTGGAGTAGGTTGCCATTTCCTCCTCCAGAGGATCTTCCCAACCCAGGAATGGAACCGAGGTCACCTGCATTGCAGGCGGATTCTTTACCAGCTGAGCTACCAGGGAAGTCCATTATTCTCTTTCTCACATTGCCTATATATACTGAGATAGCAGGGGTCTTTTACTTCCTCTGTATATTTTGGGTTCCAAACATTCACCGTACATGATGTCGGTCTCTCCCTTCCTTTCCCGTCCCTGCAGGACAGAACGTTGTTCCATCCTGTGAGTAACAGCTGCATGGACTGTAACCCCGCAGAGAAGAAGATCTTCATGGCCAGATGCGATCCTCTCTCAGAGACTCAGCAGTGGGTTTTTGAACATATTAATATGACTGTTTTAGAAAAATTTAACTACCATGCCAGTTCCTAGGAAGAAAAAAAAAGGAAGGACGAAAAGAGTAATTCCCTACAGATGATAAAAAAATTCAACTTTAGCCAGCCTCTGGGTCAAAGGAGTCAGGAATAACTTTTCCTAGATCCGGGAAGCCTGGTTGGAAAGATCTGTAAATGCCTTGTCCAGTTACGGCATCCTGAAGAACTTCCTGCATCCCGAAGAACTTGGCTGAGAACCTCGCCAGCTGCTTCCGAGAACTTTGAGCAGTCCCCTTGCTGGCCAAGGGCAAAGATGACTTAGGGACCTTTCCAAACAACTGCTGAGTTAATAAATCCTAGCATTTCTCAGGTCAAATCCTGCAGTAGTGAGTAGCTATGAATGGATCCTATGACGTGGGTGGGTGGGGGTGGAGGTGGAGGGCGTGACCCCTCTGACAGCCTGTTGCAGGTTTAGAATGAGCCCGTTCTCCACTAGAATGGTTCAGAGTGCTGTAGAGGATTCTGGAGTGCTCATACCATTCTGTGTTCCTGTGTTATTTTGCCAGGAGGGTGTGCGATCTAAGACTTCAATTACATCACGAGACAGACTTCCAGCGTCTCCATGCCTTCCCTGACTTCTGTCATTTCCCTTTCACAGCAGAGGTAACTTACTGGTCATAAAATTTCATGCTCCATAAGCCAGCTGGAGTTCTAATTCAGTGCCCTTGTATGAATCCAGTTGGAAACAAACACGAATAAAAAACTATGCTACCAAGTTACTCCAAAGAGAAATATTTCATGGACGCAGCAAAACCCTGTAAGGTTTAGGAGAGGAATTTCACTAGGAAAATCTATTTTTACTTTTCTATTATTTTTAGAATTTTCAGAGTCTGATGTTAGTCCAGTCTTTGTTTTATTAAGGAAGGACATGGAGTGAGGCTGATGTAATTTGTTGAGGAGATTCTTAAATCCAAATAAATCTACACTCCAAGAAACGTGTGAAAATGACTTGGTACACTTCAGTTATGTCTGGTAAGGGATGGGGACATAGAACTGGTTGCATTTTGCTTTGGACTGGCTTTCCTCTTTGTTGTTGTTCATTTGTTTTTTTGATATTAATGATGCTTTTGTTTTTCTTGGACACACATTGAAGGACTTTCCATTAATAAAGTGATTCTGACCCCATTTTCTATTCATGGGACAGTATTTCAGGGATGATTTAAAAACTAAATGGAACACTTAATCCTTAAAAGATTTTTTTTTTTAACTCTTCAGTAACAGTGGGAGTAGGGGAAGACTATATGGAGATAAGCCTGTAGAGGAAAGAATGATATTTTGTCATACATACATTTCTCAAGTTTTTTTTTTTTCCAGGTAGAAAACGGTTTTTATTTTGCTTTTGTTGTTTTGCTACTGCCGCTGCTGCTAAGTCGCTTCAGTCATGTCCGACTCTGTGCGACCCCATAGACGGCAGCCCACCAGGCTCCCCCATCCCTGGGATTCTCCAGGCAAGAACACTGGAGTGGGTTTTGTTGTTTTTAACTCAGTTTTAGATTAATAATATATATATATATAGTCTTGGATATAAAAGCATTGAATTTTAGAACTAGGAAGACTCTGAGAATCCAATCTGTTTGTTTTCGTAGATGAATAGCAAAAGCAGGGAGAAAATGGTCCTAATTCCTAACAGGGCCAAAGGGTCTTCCAACGCCTAGTGTCCAGCGCTTTTCCTCCTGTGTTCGTTGAGTCTTACATCATCCAGGAAGGTTTAGGTCACTCCTCTGATTTCACTTGAGATGTTCAGTCCCTCAGTGACAATAACGTACCTGCCTGGGGATGCCTACAAGAGTAGCACTCACATTCAGAAGCTTAAACATATGAAACCGCTTCTTATAAATGTTCCTGACTGTGTTCTCTCCTTGAAATCTAATCCAACATCCAGTTACACTGCCCTGCTAACAGGTGGGGAAGAGTTACTTCATTCTCTTTACTAATGTTTCAAGCATTCTTTTGAAGAACTATTCTTTTTAAACTGACAGTTGCAGAGATTTTTTTGTGTGTTGGTCAAGAGATCTTGAAACATTCAAGATGCATGGTGAAAAAAATCGATAATGAGAAATTAACCTGGGTGTTGAACAATTTCAGAGAGTGGGTGAAGATTTATCTCAAGTGTTCAGAGAGCAATCTGGTTGTAGAAGGAGATGAGCCTATAAAAATTCACATTATGTCATTAAACAGTTGACTGCTATTTACAGTTGCACCAAAGAGCCAGCCCAGTGAGCTGTGCCCTGGAAAGCCTGGATCTGCAGTATTTGAGGATGCTCTCATCGGGGGAAGCTGGCCATAACCTGCTCAGCACTGTCCCCGGAGAGAACCTGAATACTGCATCCTTTAGGCGTGACACCTGGGATCGACATGGGTTGCTTTCCTGATCTCAAAGGGCCTTGTACTCTGACTTAAAGGATGTAATATGAAAAAAAATTAAAACTAGAAGATTTTTTCCAAGAGAATCCTGGGACAAGAAAGCCAAAATTAGATCCTCAAGGGACTTCCCTGGTGGTCCAGTGGTTAAGACTCCCTGGTCCCAATGCAGAGGGCCAGGGTTTGACCCCTGGTCGGAAAACTAGATCCCACATTCTGCAGCTAAGATCCGGTGCAACTCAAATAGATAGATAGATACTTAAAAAAAAAAAATCCTCAAACTGCCAAGTAATTGTTAGACATATAAGAAGACCGAACATCCAAATAGAATAAAAGGAAGTCTCAGAATCTCCCCCTGGGCAGAAGGGCCTGGCACTGACATGAACATGTCCAATTTCCCAGCATCACCGAGGGTGGGAATCTGCTTCCTTCAAACACCACCATGACTATTCTGAAACATAGAACATTACATATGTTTGTGTATTTACTTGGCAAGAGGACTGAACAGTCACTGGAGAGATTATCTTTCCTGGAAAGAACAGGATTTAGAAGTTGGAGCAGCAGAGTTCTGACCCGCCCTTTTATCAGAATTAGAGGGAAAATAACAGAAAGTTCATCTGGCCTCAGGAACTGCTACTTCTCCAGGATAAGAAATGATCTTTCCCAGAAGTTAGAAAATAGTTAACTTTTCAAACCCCTTTTTAATGTATTTACCAAGAAAAGGCTGTGCTGGAAAACAGTTGTGAACTAATCATGGGATTTTCATGTGCTCCGAGGCTGATGAATACCATGGCAATAGCAATGTGCTGCTTCCAGGTCTGCCACTGCTTAATTTAAAACACCCACATGACCACAAGACTGGTTTTAAATGCATTCACCATCTCAGAGTCCTCAGTGTGTAATGCAAGGCCCAGGATTCTCTCGTGAGTTGGTGCATGACAGCTCAGTCACTTCAGTCGTGTCTGACTCTTAGCAACCCTATGAGCCATAGGCCATCAGGCTCCTCTGTCCATGGGATTCTCCAGGAAAGAATACTGGAGTGGGTTGCACTTCCTTCTCCAGGGAATCTTCCAAACCCAAGGATGGAACCCACATCTCTTCTGTCTCCCGCATTGGCAATTGGGTTTTTTACCGCTAGCGTCACCTGGGAAGAGCTTTCAGGCCTCCCTGGCAGCTCAGGGGTGAAGAATCCACCTGCACACACAGGAGACGCAGGTCTGATCCCTAGGTCGGGAAGATCCCCTGGAGAAGGGATTTGTAACCCATCCAGCATCCTTGCATGGGAAATCCCGTGGAGTCAGACATGACTGAGCGACTGAACACAGCAGCATGAGATTCTTGTGAGCACTGATTTACCCTGGAACCCTGAGGAAGACCTCCTGAGGCCTCTTCCCCAACACGGGTATAAGGCAGAAGTATTCTTTCATAGACAGATGCTGGAGATAAAGAAATAGGGCATTTTGTATAAACCCTGAGAGGGAACACCTCAAAGGGAAACTATCAGCGATTCCCTGGGACTCTGGGAGCCAATGGCAACAATGACAGGTAGGCTGCATCTCCAGACACGGGCGCCCTTCATCCCCTGCTTTCACAGCATCCCCAGGGCCCGCTCTGGCCATCATTACTCTCAGATGACACCACCAGCTGGCTGTAATTACTTTCCTCGTGTGCGACCCGAGCGGGAACACTGACAGGTGACAAGTGGCCGGTCCTCCCACGCTGCCGACAAGAGAAGACTGCGCTTTGATTTATGTCTGGAGCCCTTGCCGGAGACCCCGGAGCTGTCGGCGACTCTATTTGGTGGACTTGACGTTGGCCGGGAGCTTTAATCCAGTCGCTCATCTGTGCGCCTAACATGCCAGGCTGGCGCGTCCCGTACTGCAGCTTCAGAGACGCCAGCCCAGGTGCATGTCTGATGCTGCACTTCACAGAAACCTGGGCTCATTTCTTCTGTCCTCGCGGCCTGAAGTGGCCCCCCTCAGCACATCAGGAGACAGTCCCCAGGGTCCCTGCAGTCTGCTGCCCACCACATGTGCCTGGGTCAGCCGCGGCACGGAGAGCCTGGACACTGAAGACTTCCATCCTGACCTCACTCACCTTGTGAAGGGTGAGCTTACTAGTTTGTAACTCAGAGGCACAGGTCCCGGTTTACCAGGAACTGTCCTAGTTTGCGCCTGGTTAATTATCATTACACAGAGATCAAATCAGTCAGTCTTAAGGGAAATCAACCCTGAATACTCACTGGGAGGACTGGTGCTGAAGCTGAAGCTCCAATACTTTGACCCCCTGATGCAAACAGCCAACTCATTAGAAAAAGACCCTGATGCAGGGAAAGACTGAAGGCAGGAGGAGAAGGGGGAGGCAGAGGATGAGCTGGCTGGATGGCATCACCAATACAATGGACATGAACTTGGGAAAACTTTGGGAGATGGTGAGTGACAGGGAGGCCTGGCGTGCTGCCATCCATGAGAACGCAAAGAGTCTGGGCAACTGGGCAATTGAACAACAACAACAATTATCATTAACGCTTCCTTTTACTCTTAAAAATGTCCTAGTTTGGATAGAAGAGTACCTGGCCACTCTACAATCTACCTGCCTGTTTCCTTCCTAGTTCCTCTATAGAAAGTTAAAATGTCC